CTCCACAAACACGTCCAGATTCAGGCGTTGAGGTAGCTCTCTCTCTCTCTCTCTCTCTCTCTCTCTCTCTCTCTCTCCCCCCCCCCCCCCAGACCGCAATGCACCGCGACTTGGAGCTCGTGACTTTCATTCTTTTCTGTTGTTTTCGTTCCTTTTTCCTTTCTTTCTTTCTTTCTTTTTTTTTTTTTTTTTTTTTCCCCCTTATACTTACCGGTCCCCCGCCTGGCGTCCACTGGAAGTCGCGGCGCGTATACAGCCGCCCAAAAAAAAATAGCAGGCCGAGGTACTGGTGGTTTAAGCACCCGTGTTCACAGCTTGGTCACAGCGGTCAAAGTGATGAGCCGAACATGCATAAGGCGGAATGGAGTTGGCAGTCGCATTCAGAAGAGGATGACTAAATGACAGTAATTCATAACAGAATCCAGGGAAAAAGTAAAAGGACTGCATCTCACACCGACCATTCTATGTCATCAGGTACTCATCGGTGCCACTAGTTTGAAACCGCAAAGAAAGTAGAAAAAGTTGAAAAAAGCTCAGAAAACTGATACAGAAAACAACAGTCTTTTCAACGTTGCCTTATACAGGGAAAATCTGCACAATGTGACACAATGAAAGAACACAGAAGGAGGGCAACAACCCTCTCCATTGCAAACGGCAATTAATAAACTGATCACACAGACTCAATTCCATCAGGAGAGAAAACACAAACACTAAACCCTAAACCCTAAACCCTACATTTGATAATGGCACCCAGTGTGGAAGTCAGCAATGATCGCAATCATGGAAACAGACAACACAAACATAATGTACACTGACTCACAAAAGGCACTCATTAGAGACTGCTTCCTCTTCACCCCAAGGTAATATGACACCCGCCATGTGCTTACTGCCACTCTTGCTGTCGTCTGACCGTTGCCAGTTGTCAGAATATCCGTCTGACATTTGACAATCTGTCAGACAGGGTAACTGTCACTCTTCCTGTCCACCACCCCCGGAGTTCCCTTCGATTATTCTCTCTCTCTCTCTCTCTCTCTCTCTCTCTCTCTCTCTCTCTCTCTCTCTCTCTCTCTCTCTCTCTCTCTCTCTCTNCTCTCTCTCTCTCTCTCTCTCTCTCTCTCTCTCTCTGTGTGTGTGTGTGTGTGTGTGTGTGTGTGTGTGTGTGTGTGTGTGTGCATCGTGGAGGCGCTCTTGCTCTTATCGCTCAAGGACCAAATGTTCAGTCACAAATACCAGCACCTTCCCACGAATCATTTATTGATTCATAATGAATTGTGAATTGAGTGGGGGGGAAAATACTACCACTCTGACATCCAAATATCAGTCTGCATCCACACTAACCACAAACGAACAGGCAGGCCTCCCTCCATGTGCTTACTGACACTCTTGCTGTTAGAATATCTGTCTGACGTTTGACAATCTGGCAGACAGAGTAACCACAATCAAACAGGCAGGCCTTCCTCCAAGAACGCGATCATGCGCTGTCGGCGAGGCCGACATTCAGGCCCTCCCCGGTGTGTCAAATTTTGCCATACCGGTATGGCATTCTGGCCTGCGGTTGGGGTTAAATGTACCCCACTAGACTGACGTGAGGGAACTGCGGTCCAGTCCACTTTGCTTGACGGTAAGAGGCTGGGCTGCGGGTTATCAGACTAATTAGCCCTGACCCTTCCGTGGCCAATCCTGGTGAGACCCTACAGCTGAATGTTTTTTGTTACGAAAGGCTCGGTCAATCCCTAACAAATTATTTAAAATAAGTAAATAAAGAAATAAAAACAGGTATCCGTAAGCTTTGATCGTACCTATG